ACTTCCTCGCTGGTCTGGTGGGAAGAAGCATGCATGCATTCGCCATGTGCCGAGGTTTCCTTTGCTGCCCAGGCTGCCGTCGGACATAGGGAAAAACTGTGTGATGGGAGAGTGGATCTCTCCATGCCTGGACGTCCGTGCTATCCTTGCCAGACTCTCACAGCCAGGTTTGTCCTTGCAGCCTACGGGGGCTAGCACGCACGGGCGCAGCGTCCCTGACCTGGTGCATTTCATCCCTGTCCCCGCTCAACTAAAACCCCGACATCTTGGTGTGCCTGAGCCCCATGGCTAGGGGGCTTCACTTACCATGTCTGCCAGGTGGTTCATGGCCAGCTCGTAGGAGTGCAGCCCCAGGGAGTGCTCCAGATTATGCAGCGTCACCAGGCGCAGGTTCTTCTCCCATGTCACGCGCCGCTTCCCTTCCTCTTTCTGAAATCAAACCCAGCCCTGCAGCGCTGCGGTGGGCAAAACCAGGCAGGGATCTACTGGCCTTCGGCAGCCGTTGCAACGCCCTGGTACACCCTGTCGTGCTGTGCAAAGCTGTCGAGACCTCTCCCCACCAAATCCCCCCAGGAACCAGCAGCGCTTTGAAGTGCTGTTGACCAGGGCTCCTCTCCCCGCTGCAAAGGGCGATCGCTCCTGCTGTGCGACGCTGCAGCGGCTCAAGCAAGGAGGGAGCAGCACCTGCCGCGTTAGGGCCCCGAGCCACCCCCTGAGGCAACCCTACCTGGTGGCGATACTCTTTGCCGTGGGTTTTCTTCCAGAGCTGCCAGTGCCAGTCCAGCGTGGGGTCGGGGTGCCCCAGCGCCGCAGTGAGCGCGGCCAGGAAGGCGCCGCAGGCCAGCAGCTTCATCCTGCTCAGCTCGGACCAGAGAGTTGGAGTGACACTGCACGCAGGCTGGGAGCGAAGGACTCAGCACCAGAGCCGGGCCGTGCTTGACCCCTTGGTGACAAATCCGGTTTGGTAAGGTCAGGGATGTCATCACCAGGCTCCCTCACATGCCCTTTGTGGGGTTTCTACACCAGGTGATGCCAACAGCGCCTGTCCTGCCCACCTGGGCCAGCACCCCAAGACCACACTGCCCACCCTGCTCTCCTGCCACATATGTTCAGCACCCGCGAGGTAGGAGAAGGGCAGATAAATCCTATCCAGAGCCTGGAAACCTCCCTCAGGGAAAAGCCTGCTGGGCCCAAGCCCTGCCTGTTTGGATACAAACACGTAGGGACACATCCAGACACGCGTGTCGTCTCCCAGTTCCACCCTGCCTAGGAAACCCTCCTTGGGGGAGGCTTACACATTCCCTGGCCAGGTGGCTGTTTTCACATGCCTACATTTTCCAGCACCTTAAAAAGCAAAAATTCCTATTTTCATCCAGCCATTCCTCACTAGCTCCTGGGGAGAGGGCTCCTATGTACAAATCAACTGACCACAGAGGGCTTGCAGGAGATTAGAGATAAAATGGAGTCATACTCTACCATGCAAACATCCTTTCTGTGATTTTTACTTCCTCAAAGCTCAGTTGTCCCACAGTAGGTTTAAAATACAAAAGCGTCCAACGTACCTAACAGCCTCCTGCCAGCCTGGGGCTCTAGGTGCAGCTCTTCAGCTCCCTGGTGGTGGGAGTGTGCCAGGGATGAATCCAGTATGTCCCCCAGTGCCTGCCTGCTGCTGGGGTCCCCAAGAGCTCTGGCACCAGGCACGCTGCAGCTGCAACTTGCCCGACAAATCACATGAGTCAGGAAATGAGGAAATGCTCTGATTTCATTTTCACTTAGCTGGGACTGGATCTGTTGCACCACTCGTGAGTTTATTTGAAGCAGCCAGTTCAGGACCCTCGATACCAATCCAGTAGGACTGCAGCTGAGAAAGTGAAGCAGTTTGCTGATCCTGGCACCCCCAAAGTTAATGCAGAGGTGTTGGCAAAGCTCTCAAAGTGCTTTACTGGCTTGTAGGGCCAGCGGGCAGGGGCAGGGCTCGCAGGTGTGTTGGCGGGTGACTGATGTGTTTTTGCATTTCTGGGGCTCAGTGCACACCTGAGAGATGGGACAAGGCTGAGCATGGACCCTTGCAGCTCATTTGAACCAGGCAGCACCCTTGGACCAGACCCGAACTCCTATCTCACTGCTGTCCCATATCAACCAGAACAAAGCCAGCTCTCAGAAAATCAGATTTATTCAGTTTTCCATGGGGAAGCACAGAGGGGAAGACGCAGTTTAAATATAATGACTGCATGGAGCTGAGCCTGCTGTATCAGTGGCCAGCCTCAGAGCTGCACGGACAGCGGGAGACGTATTTAATGCACGTTATATTGCAGACGTTGCAGTCAGTCTGAACATGCTGTCAGCAAAGTTTCCAGCAGCAGCTGGAAAATCACGTGCCCGCCGCCGCGCCAGGGCTTCCTCTGGGATGCCACGAAGGCGAGCCAGGCAGCAAGGCTCATTTCTCAGGGTTGCAAAGCACCTTGAACATAAAATGGCTGCAAGAAACCATCTTCGAGAGGAGGAGGAGGAGGCAAAGCGGTATCACAGGAGCTTTTAAGATGGAGTTGAGTCATTTTCTAAAAGGCAGCTGTGGCTGCTGGAGATTGCAAGAGTTAGCGATGACCTCAGAGAGCCCGTCACCTAAATAACTGAAATAATTTCCAACAGATTATCCCTTACTAGTGGATCTTCTTGGGGAGGGTGACTTAAGTGGTCATATTTGACAAGACCAACTGCGATCATTCCTAATTTCTGCTGCTTGTCTATAGAAATGCAACTGGATTCTTAAATAAGGCCGGAAGGCTGGAGTAGATCCACACGTGCCTGAGGTCAGTGAGGTGAGCGGGGGAATCCCAAGAGCTTATCCTGAAGCAGGAAGTCCCCCTAGATCTGAGGATAGGAAGCGTAGCTGGCGATTCCACACTGGTTTCCGCGGTTCCTCGACATTCGGATATAACCCTGCTCGCCAAAATGCACACCCCAGCTTTTGGAAGAAAAAAAAAACAGAATTAGACAAGAAGAAGACGACCCCCCCCTCCTTCCAAACCATCCCTCACCAGGATAGCCAAAATCACATCTTTCACCCAAAAGGGAAGCCAAACCTCCTGAGTGCCTCCCTGCCCCTGCCGGGTTTTGCTGTTATTAACTCTTCCTGGGAGCAGAGGGAAAGAAAACATTTTCTATGCAGTGGAGCGAGTCAAAGCCACCAGGGAAATACCAGGCAAAGGTGTGCAAATTATTTTTGTATATTAAAAACATGGTTCACTTTGAAAAAATCCTATGAAGGCTGGAGATGAGAGAGAGAGGAGAAAACGTGCTTTTTAAAGCCAACTCTAACGTGAAGATAAGGGAGCTTCGTTTATAGAGCTGTCCGTTTTTTTGGCTTTTGGTTGCTAAATGTAGCTTTGCTGATATCACAGCATTTTCCAGAGATGTGCCAGTTTGAGCAGGGCTGTTTCCTTTCAACGCTTTGCCTCTTGTTTTGAATTTTAAGTGGTGCAAAAACGCTTATGCTCACACACGCTGTAAGGCGAGCGGTGGCCGGGCTGCCACGCTCCTTGACGCTGTGCCTCTGGCCTGCTTAAACGAGGGGATTCTGCAGAGGGAACGCTGGCGCCTCTCTCAATCAAACTCGCTTGGTGTCTCTCCTCCATGGTAAGCTGAGAAACGTCAGCTCCTGGCTCTGGCTCAGCGTCCAGGAGCATTTGAAACGCTGGAATTTCCTGCAGCGCAGAAAGCCCGGTTTGGAGCCAACTCCGACAAGCCACGCAGAAGCAATCCGGGTGACTTGCATCAATTCAGGTTTATAGGGCTTAATCAAGGGCCCTTTACACTGTTCTTGGTATGTGGCTGGGCCGTAAACACATATAAAGAAAGCTGACCCTGCATTTAAAAGTCATTTTCTGCTACTGGGACGGTATAAGGAGAGTTGCCCTAAGAATCAAGCCCTATGACGTGCATCGCTGGCACGTTTGTGAAATCTTTGGAGCGCCCCTTCAGGACGAGGCTGAGCTGAGGAAAAGCAGCTCAGTGACTGCATTCCCTGTACCTGTTTTTCACGAGCCAGTAGTCCTTGCCATCCAACGTGCCATAGCCGACAACAAGCACCGCATGGTTCCCGATCTGAGAGCAACGGGGATCATCGTAGATACCTGGAAGGCATTTGGAAACACCTTTAAGACAACCTGTCCCAAACCAGAATTAAGTTCACTCCCTGGTAGGCATTAACCAATGCCATGGCTGCCTGTTGCTGAGAAAGAGGGCAAGGCCAGCTAAAAACATGTCAAACTTGCAAAGGTTTACATTTGAACAAGTTGGGCTACAGGAAGCAGAGCGCAGCCCTTTATCGCAATTCTTCATGCTCCTCCAGGAGACGCACCCGCTTTGTATAGGAAGAACGTAGGCTGACTGCCATCGATACTGACAGAGACAGGTCCCACGTTGGCGATGGCATCCTTCAGCACGCCTTCGTCACCATGCGGGAGCTCAACGTAGCTGGAGCAGGAGGCTGCTCGCACCGCCGGGTTGTAGTGGCACACGCCGTCCTGACAAACGGGCAACGGGAAAATGCGTCAGCTTCTGCTCCACGTTACCTGCGTGGGGCAGAACTGATGCTGGCAGCTTTAAATGCAGATGCGCCTGCAGTTTTGCCAAGGTGGATTTTTCTTTGGAAGTCACAGGACTGTAATTCTTCCATTTCAATGGTTCAGCACCCCAGGCCGAGCCGACCTGCTCCAGCCCTGAGCGTTGCCCAGGTCTGATGCCCACCTGTGCCCTGTAAGGGTAGGAATCGTCCGAGTCTATTCCTTGGTTGTCTATGATGTACTGGAAAGCCTTGGTTCTCCATCCGCCACCACAGCCTTCATTCCCATAACGCCGGGAGCAGTCAACGAGGTTTTGGGCACTCAGGGACACCAGCTTGCCCGTCTTCAGCTTCACCTGGGCTTCCAGGGCTCCCACGGCACTGAAGGCCCAGCACGCCCCGCAGGCGCCCTGCAAAAGCCCCCGAGACGCACTCAGACGCTGCCCTGCGGCGCCGAGACCTGGGGAGGTGCAGGGAGACTTCGCACCTGGTTCTTCACCGATGTGACGCAGCCCTTTTCCCGCCAGTCCATGGTGTCCGGGACTTTGCTGCCAGGCATTGGCCGGTACGTAGAGGTCCGGTTTTGCTGATGGGGAGCTTTCAGCCCCGTTAGCAAAGCTGCCACTTCCTCGCTGGTCTGGTGGGAAGAAGCATGCATGCATTCGCCATGTGCCGAGGTTTCCTTTGCTGCCCAGGCTGCCGTCGGACATAGGGAAAAACTGTGTGATGGGAGAGTGGATCTCTCCATGCCTGGACGTCCGTGCTATCCTTGCCAGACTCTCACAGCCAGGTTTGTCCTTGCAGCCTACGGGGGCTAGCACGCACGGGCGCAGCGTCCCTGACCTGGTGCATTTCATCCCTGTCCCCGCTCAACTAAAACCCCGACATCTTGGTGTGCCTGAGCCCCATGGCTAGGGGGCTTCACTTACCATGTCTGCCAGGTGGTTCATGGCCAGCTCGTAGGAGTGCAGCCCCAGGGAGTGCTCCAGATTATGCAGCGTCACCAGGCGCAGGTTCTTCTCCCATGTCACGCGCCGCTTCCCTTCCTCTTTCTGAAATCAAACCCAGCCCTGCAGCGCTGCGGTGGGCAAAACCAGGCAGGGATCTACTGGCATTCGGCAGCCGTTGGAAAGCCCTGGTACAACCTGTAGGG